ATGAACCAGAGGTAACCCCAATGCTTGGCCGAGAGAGAAGTGGCGCACCAGGTTAGACCCTGATCCCGTTGCCGCTGCTGCTCTTATTCTTGTTACAGCTCGTGATTTGGACCCGTCGATCGCGAACAATTTAAGCGATAAAAAACGCGACATTTTCGTGCAGACGATGGAAAAATTATAGAGTCGACGACTGGGTTATCCCTGATTAAATCCGACCGAGACAAGTGTACGAAGTTGGCTGCGATTTGCTCGCGGCTCGCAACGATCATTTGCGAGTTGATCGTTGGAAATCAACTGGGAAATCATTTTTAATCGCAGGAGCAATCATTTTCGGAGAAATTTTCTATATCTTTTTGATTAAATTTTTGCTTTGGTGGTAAGAAATCTCGACATTTAGGGCTAAAACATAAGAGTGTCTTATAAAACCTTACTTTGATTTATAATATCATGATTCATGATTACTTTGCCACTTACACACTTCTAGATAAAGTTACTCGTCATCTAGTGGTAGATGCTTAAACTGATTTAGATTTTTTGAAACAGTTAATTGTCAGTTCCAGCTAATTTAAAATGTGCTTGAGATTTCTTACATAAGGTTACATCAAGACTATATTTGTTAAATAACACCTGCGCACTTATCTTACTCTAACTGCACCAACATCTGAGATACACGTTTAAAGTTTGATACAAGACTTTTTGTTATAGAGTTTGCACATATAAAATGGATATTATTTTTCGTTACACTTTTAGTTATAATGTACCACGCGATTGGCTCGGCGATAGCTCAGTCATACTTTTGCCGCATCCTGTATAAATAATACGTACTAGGGGAACTTCCCACCTGCTCGCTCCACTCACCAGCACGTCGTTTGAACCAATATAAATAAAAATTAAAAACAAGCAACATGAAAATATTTGGGAAAGAAAATTTAGAAATTAGTAGTATATTTAGAAAATATATACGTATACATAAGGAATCATTCTTTACTTATTTCACAATTTATTATTGAGGAGCGCGCTCGTGCTCGATTTGGGACGTATGACAAAGAGAGCTGCGGCGTACACGCTCCTTACATACTACTTATTACATTAAATTAAACTTTTATTTATTCGCTGTTCACACTATTTTAATTATAACATAACATAACATAACATTTTTAATTTTAACATGACTAGATTTCTCATCCCATGTATTAACTAACGAAATCCCATAATTTTGAGAACTTTTCCCATTCACACAGTTTGAGCAGTGAATATAAGTTTGTTATAATAAAGTTCCCAATCCTATCTATTATAAACATTAAATTTAACAATTTAAAAACTACTTACACAAATTTGGCGAATCATCTCTTTTTGATCCTTACCTATCATTTTTTGAAAGGAAAATCGATCTGTGCTAAAAGCTTAAATTCAAGAATAGCTATTTAAATCGAAATTGGTTCAACCACCCAGCGAATGAATGGTTTCAAAAAATGCGACATAAATTACATTATAAAAACTACAATAATTTTTTTTTTTCATGATGCATATGATTTTCAGATTTTAATGCTCTTAATTAACAAGTTTACATAATAATTGAATAATAACACAGCCACACAAAAAAAAATTTTCAGATCCACCGACCGGACCTAGTGGACATAATGTTTTTGGCTCGCTGAATCCGAATCCGGACTCGCCTTCGGCTCGTGCTATAATGCCTCGTTTTGCTAAAAAACCATATGAGCACCCGTTAAGAAATATACTATTTTCGCACATTTTTTAGTGCGCAAATAGTATATTATGATACGTGTGACTTAAGCAGGCCATTATTGCACGGCACGGTTAGCACCCGAGCGAAGCGAGGGTGCTAGTGCCGTGTCAAGAATGGGCTACTTGAGTCATAAGTATCATACGTTTTTTTATAGCACTGTGCTAAATTCACGTTTAGGCCCCCTTTGGCGAGATATAAGGTGCTCATAATAGCGTCGCGGTGTGAGGTTAGCGCACGAGCGTAGCGAGTGCGATAGGCACGCCGCGGTGCAATAATGAGCAGCTTAAGTCACGGCAAAGCGTGCCTTAAACGTGAACTTTAGCCACGCAGTGCTTTAAAAGCGTTTTTGGACAATTGTGTGCAGTAAAATGCCGCATTTTGGACACGGGTGTGCGGTAAAACGCCTCATTTAAATGAAAGTTTTTTCGCCTACTATTGCATAAATAACTATAAAATTTTTGTTACATAGATTTTTACGACAAAAATTTAGCTAATGCATTCTTTGAAATTAAATTTTTACAGATGACGAAAATTATCTGAGGAAAATAAATGTCAACTGCGACGGAGAAATTATACCTCCCAAAAAATCCAAAATCAAATCATTAGCGGCCGAGGAAAAAGATTTATTGAAAGAAAAAAGCTCCGAGACTAAGAAGAAGCAGATGAAAGGTGCTGAAATTTCAAATCAACATCTGCTTCAGCTCCCCAACGTACTGAATGATTTGAATAAGTATGGCACAGAAAGTGAAAGCAGGTATGAGTTTATGTACAATTATTTATTTATTTATTTACAGCGATGATTTATTTAATTTATTTATTTACAGCGACGATGAAAATTTATTTCAAGGGGCAGTCAAACGAAAACGGACACTGTACGACCCGCTCGGTTGGATATCGCCACTGACTATCCAGTACAAGATTTTTCTACAGCGTCTTTGGACTTTAGGTTTGTCCTGGGACGATCCACTTCCGGCGCACTTGCAAGCATTGTGGCAATCGCTTGTCAAGGACCTACAGAACCTCACTCAAGTTGGTATACTTCGATGAATAGGACTATCACCGACTCGCAGGCGCTGTCTGGGAACTTCACGGAGTCGCTAACGCGTCAGGGCGGACCTATGTTTGGCAATGCAAGCGGTGCACCTGGAAATGGCATCTGGTTACTCGGCGCGGGATTTTTTGATGGTCTATCAACGCTTTGTGGCTCGTCGGGGCATTTGTGCAACTCTCTCAAGTGACTGCGGAACAAATTTCATTGGCGCCGACCGATAGCTTCGTGAGTTATTCGCCCAGGCACAGAAGCAGCCGAAAAGACTGGCGCGCATGCTGAGCAACGAGGGCGCGGAGTGGCGTTTAAATCCACCAGCAGCACCACACTTTGAAGGGATCTGGGAGGCAGCGGTCAAAAGCACGAAATTCCATCTCAAGAGGATAATAGGCGATACGCGCCTAACGTTTGAAGAATTTTCAACTCTTCTCGCTGAAATAGAGGCGTGTCTCAATTCGCGGCCATTGCAAGCGATCAATGACGATCCAACGGATCTCGCAGCGCTGACACCCGCGCACTTTCTCATTGGCACCGCAACATGTACAATACCGGAACCGTCGACGCTCGATTTGTCCATCTCTGGACTTTCTCACCTACAGATGCTGAGAAATATGTATGAGCATTTTTGGACGAGATGGTCCTCGGAATATCTGCAGGCGCTACAACATCGACCAAAGTGGCAGAAAAGCAACACTCAGATTCGCGTCGGACAGTTATGCGTGATTCGATCGGAATTGGCACCGTCGTGCAAATGGGCCCTAACTCAAAGTGGGCATAACTCAAGTTCACCCTGGAAAAGATGGCCTGATACGAGTGGTATCAGTGAAAACTGCCACGTCTGTATTCAAAAGACCCGTCACCAAACTAAGCATTCTACCACCAGCAGATGATGATTCGCCCAATATCGGAGAAGGCGGGCGGAATGTTCCGGAATGTAAATAAATCTAAGCGACAAACACCGTTGAAATTGTGAATATTGTAGATAGTTTTCTTAGCTTTAAGTCTTGTTATTGTACTGTGTAAATTAGTCTTGAAAAGCACGCTCAGCGGGCAACATTCAAAGCCTAGCAATACTCTCTTGCTCAAATCTCAATAAAGTTTAAACTGACTTATCCTCAACACAGAGTTGTTCAAATTTGGGATTCATTCTCTCCTCATCTCCTCTCATCATCTCGGACATGATTGAAAGTACTTTCCCGTGAAATATCTTAATTATTTACGATAAAAAGTAAGGGAGATATGCATTTTCGAAAGATTATGGTTTTTTTTCGGTTTTTCGTGAATAGCTCGATAAAAATGGTTTTTTTAACTACATTATTTTAAAGATCTTGCTATTACCTACAACTTGCTCATTGCACTCACAACGGTCCATCGACTACGTTTCGCTAAAAACCAAAAACCACATTTTTTTTGTTTTTTTTTTTCAGTTTCCCGGACTCCATTTTTTTGTTAACAATAATCAGTTGGTACATTTTCACCACAATGGAACAATTTCATTACTTTATACATCTACCGAGTTCGCTTGCAGCAATTTTCTTAGTCACCATAAAAAATCTCTATTCCCTGGACTAGAGAGTACGGTAGACGGACGAATTAATTCAAAGAGCGGATAACTTTTATTCATTTTTATGTCTAGGAACCAAATATTATTCATGAAGATTGATATAGGGTACTTATACCAGTGATTGACCGCTTTCGACCAGTAAATGACCACTTTTGGATGTGCAATAATTATCGTTTTTCCTTATTAAATTATGATCAAACATAGAAAACAAGATGCATCGTTCACTAAAGAATTGAATTACGTGCATAGAAATATATTTTTAATTGTTTTTCATATGATATTTTCTAAAATGGTCATTCACTGGTACCCGGTCATTGATTGGTCTGACTACCCTAATGAACGTAACGTATTGGACATGAGTAATACGGATGCTAAAATTGGAGTTTCCACGTGTGACACTCGTAAACCGCGGGTCTTTTCTTCCATTAGTTCCGATGGCTAGCTGCGTACTTGTCTTATTATTTATCTTTTTGATTGCACAACAAACAAGTTCAAACCACGAGTTTATATCATTTTTATTTACCATTACGAGCGACATCTGGACAAGCTTCGAGTTAGCGCGTGGCGATTGCGAAAAATCGGACGCGCATCGTTGCGAATTCGTGCAAAGGTGAGAAAAAAAAAGCGAATACATATCATCACTCATTATCACCGAGTGACTGTACCATTTGGTCGACGAGATTGCCGATGCCCTGACTTATGTTGTAATAGATTCTTTCGGGCGGAGATGCCATTGTCAGGACGCTGGGTGAACTGTAAATGTGGTAATTCGTGTCGTGCAAGACTCGGAAAATGTTCTGATACACAAGTGTCGCTCCCATTCTCTCCCCAGCAACTAAAAAGCGATTCATGCGTACCAGATCGCTTTGCCTTTTAGCTGTAAAAAAATATTCATGTCAAATTGTCACGATTTACGATTGTTATTTATAAGATTATTATTGAATTTTTAGATTTTGTCATTTTTATGACTATGCCAAATTGTAATTTTTTCTCACAACGAAGCAAAAACATTCATACAAAAACTAGACAATCCTAAAATTCTTACCTTCGTCACAACAAGTAATACGTACTCCCTGAAATACTCTAGCCGCCAAAAGAGAAGCGAGACTTAAAAAACCCATCGGCTTTCTATGCTGATAGAATCTAAGCAGCGTACGGTTCAGCGTCTCGTCCATCCTAAACGCGTGCATATCATCCTCTGCTCTTGTCATCAAATCGGTACTACGCATTGAGACGCAGTAAAAAAAGGAAAGAGAGAAATATCGATTTCAATCAACAAAACAAAAAGCTCGAATTATAATCCTGTAAAGTTGTTAGGGGGCGAAATAAAAAGTACAGATTACGAAATATGCCGATGCCACCGGGAATGATAAGTCCCTGGTGATCTTCGACTCTCAGATTGTCGAAAGGTTGGACTCGATCCCAGGTCAAGCGCGCGGACTCGTTTAGCATGAAGCGAGGAGCAACATTTTCCAATTCCCATCCCGTCATAGCATCGTACAATCGCTCTATTCTGGCAGCGGGCGCGAATAACGAAGCATTCGTATTACGCCTGTGTAAATGCATCATCGTGTGGACGGCTTCGTGTACTTGGGCCCCGTCTCGCCGTCCGCAGCCGGTCAATATCTGTGCGGGATACAACATTACACAGATCAAGAGATTACATTATTTTAGAGCTATGCGCGCGACCTGACGTTGAAATGTCGCCATTGTCAAAGGTTGAATTGAAATTTGTATTTTTGAGTATTTAGTAACGTTACCACTGCTATTGACGGTACAGCGTCTGGATTATTACGACACGAGTCGTTCGGATTCCTTTCCGGCGGCGGGTTTGTGTTAAAATTGACGACTTCAGGCTCAACCAGATTTACCCCCAATGCTTGGCCGAGAGAGAAGTGCCGCACCAGGTTAGACCCTGATCCCGTTGCCGCTGCTGCTCTTATTCTTGTTACAGCTCGTGATTTGGACCCGTCGATCGCGAGCACTTTTAACGATAAAAAACGCGACATTTTCGTGCAGTCGATGGAAAAACTATCGAGTCGACGACTGGGTTATCCCTGATTAAATCCGACCGAGACAAGTGTACGAAGTTGGCTGCGCTTTGATCGCGGCTCGCAACGATCATTTGCGAGTTGATCGTTCAAAATCAACTGGGAAAATTTTCTATATATTTTTGATTGAATTTTTGCTTTGGTGGTAGGAAATCTCGACATTTAGGGCTAAAACATAAGAGGGTCTTGTTAGAATTGGACACGTTTTTAATAACTCATTGGAATGTTCCAAGTTTTTTCAGTAACCATTTTTCGACTGTATGAAATTCGGAAGAATCACCATTTCAACACACTTTCAGTGGTTATTTTTATTTTGACACATTTGTAATGAATTATCTTAGTTCGTGTAAATTTGATATTACGGTTACTAGCTTTTTTTGTACAATTGAAATAGAAAACCTTACTTACTTTGACACTTGCACACGTCTAGATAAAGTTACTCCTCATCCAGTGGCAGAGGCTTAAATTGGTATTATTGTATAAAAGAGGTTGAAAACTGGTTTAAATTTTTTGAAACGGTTAAATTGTCATTTCCAAATAATTCAAAATGCACTTGATATTTCTAACATAATTTTATCGGCAATATGCCGAAAAACAAGCCATTCAATGACAATATAGTTTAAAACATTTCTAAATTTCAATTTGTTTTTAATTAATCCATCATTAATGTCAACTAATTCTACCAGGAATCTGAAATTTATTCTAGCATTTTCGGATTTTTCAATGTTTTTAATTAAATTTTTATTTTTTAATACAACAGTTTTAATTTTTTTTGTGGAAATTTCGTGAATTGTTTACTTTCCACTGCTGTTATCGAACCATTCATTGATTGAATAATTGAATTAGAATGTACTTGAAATTGAATTTATTTCTTCATTTTAATACATTGCAATCGCAACAATCGGTAATAAAAAGCCAAAGTCAAACGAAGTACGCGCGTGCACCACTTCTTACTATGTATATAAAAAAAACAAAAACCAAATGAAACACAAAAATGTTTATGCATCGCGAATCTATCTGTAATAATAAAATGTCCAACGTATACAGCACATAATAGTCCTTGGAAGATCCCCTCGTAGCGATAGCTCATGCAGTACGTATACATACAGAGCCAGAGCTTAATTGGTCGCTTACCTATCCGCCCTCGATTCTTTATCACAACATTTGGGTAATGTCAGCGCGCACTTTGATTGCCGAGAGGGCAGCGCAACGCCGTCGTTCCTCGTCCGCGGCCCATTTGGCATTATTAACGCGCCGATGAAAAGGGGGATGTAGCACGGAGACAGCCGAGTAAAGCTCGATGAGACGCGAAATTTTGCGCTCGTGGCTGCACTATACATCATAGTCGTCGATCCCATAGATATCGCGCGCTTTTTCGAGTATATCACATTGGAGGGGGCTCGTGGTATGGAAACGAAACAAAAAAAAAAGAAAAGAGCCGTATGCATTTATATAAATAAATAAATAAATGAACGACCGAAGCGAAAAGCCGCGCCCACGAGCTTGCTCTAGTGTGCATAACGGACGTGGGACCGTGTCGCGCGTGGAGACTGTCAATGCGCGCTTCGACGGTGCGATGCATGGCGTTATACTATTAATATACATATATATCGAACCCGCGATCGGACGTCGTCGGGCGAAGCGAGAGATGAAATGAAATGAATAAAAATTCAAAAATAAAGCAAAAAAAAAAAAAAAAAAAGAATGCGCAACGCGTCTCTCCGCGATACAGTCTATATATCGATCCAAGCCGCGCGTGGGTCGATCTCTCCGCCGTCGCCGCGTGTTCTCCAATATATATATGTACGATACACGCTGCGGCCGCCTGCGATGCACAGAGACAGCGCACCAGGGCGGGGGTGGGCGCGCGCGCTCGCCAGGTGCGCCTCATGGTGAACCCCCTCGCTCGTGCAAATATCGCACGCATGGCGGCAGTTGGTCCGATAACGCGCCCTTGCGTTTACAAACGCGCGCCGCACGACAATATAAACATACGACGCGTATTATAAGACACGAGGGCCCAACATACGTACGCTTGTGTGTGTTTGTGTATGTGTATACTGTATAATGTAAGGTACGGGCTACATCGCATATGTATGCGGGGTGTTGTTGGCACCGTTGCTTTTTCGCTTTTATGTGTGTGTGTGTGTATTAATGCGGCTCGGGGATAGAGAGAAACAGGGCATTTCGACCGATCGCAGCCGCTATATACAATACGCATATGATAATATAATATACGTACTATTTATTCTTGTACACGATTGTCCGCCCGTCCGTAATGGGCTGTTTGGGTGAGCGTGTGCGTGTTTATACGTGTACGATACAGCGCTGACCCATTACTTTTGTATGATTGATTTTTCCTTTATATGCACGTTGTTGAAAAAAAAGCTTGAAATCGATGCAGATTTAATGTAAAATTGAACATCAAAATTTAAGAATCTGATACGGATTTTTATTCTAAGGTACTTTTATGTGAAACTGAGGTTGAAAATTCTAGTACACCTACTGATTTATATTTTTACAGTGACCAAAGAAAATAAAGAAATATTTCACGATAAGCCTTATTTTTAATGCACAGTTAATGAAAACAAGTAACTTTGTACTACGTTACAAATCCTTTAATTGAAATTTAGCTTTTCACATCACACGTGAAGTGTATAAAAAGTCAATCATAATTAAAGTCACTTACACGTAAAGCTGCAAGTGGCAAAGTCAAAATGAATTTGCAAGTAATAGTAATAATCAAATAAATGGTTAGGTTTTGTTCAAATTATTGATCTTGGAGCACTTGCAGTGGCAATAATGTCATTCAATTCGAATTCGTCAATTCTCCTTTTACATTATAGAAATGTAAAGAATTGAAAAAAATAAAAAAGCAACCCGCAAAATTAAATTTACAAGTACTTCGCGTTAAATTCAATTTCAATACGATTCACGGAAAAATCTTTGATTATATTCATATACGTTTTTCGCGGTACATCGTATAATATTGAGAATCGCTCGTGTTCATTTCACATCTAAATCGGTAAATATACTGGCAACAGCTATCGAACTCAACGAGCGAAATAAAAAAAAAATAAACGGCTCGTGCAGTAAATTATACATAAATTCAAATCGAACCTCCATATGAAATTCAATCGTTATACCGACTACATAGAGGCGTGTGTGTATTGTTGATAAAAAGCACACTCGGACAAAAAAAAAATTGAAGCGGGCGCACACATCAAACATCGCGCACTCGGTATAATACCCATATCTATCTAGCCGATATATATTGTAATAACTCTGTGTGTGCCCCCTCGAAGCGCGACAAATCCGTGCGTACATACATGGATAAATCGATGTACTTTTTTTTCGTTGTTGTTGTCCAACTGAATTACCCAGATACATCCCACTCGAATGCCGAGAACGAGCGATAATCCCGTGTATACGCGTAACGGCGCATAAATACGCGCGTACACGCATTTGTACACCAAATGGATGAGAATCGAGTCTCCAGTCGGATTCCCGCGCTCATGTATAGATTGAACCCCCCTCTTACTTCTTCTCCGTCGTCGTCGTTAGATCGATTGATCGACTCGTTCACGTCCTGCAACGGAGTGGAAGTGGACTGCCATTGCTACAACTACTGCCTACTATATAGCCGCGCGTGAAAAATGACGTTTTAATTGGCACGTGGCAGCGGCGTAACGCGCGCGAGGGATGAATTGCTCATTGATTTTCATTCGCGCTGGCACGACGCTCGTCGGAGATCGACAATTATTCAGCCCCTAAGTAGTATTCGAGCGCATTCGCGTGTACGTATTTATGTACGGGGAGCTATTAGCTTCGCCTGTGTACTATATATAACGCGATGTACGCAGTGATTTATAATACACGAAGCGTTTGAGTTATAAGTGAAGACGCTTCGCTTTTCTTCTCTCCGTGCAAAAAAAAATAAGTTCAAGCTCGCCTTGTTATTCGTTTCGGATCGAGACTAAATATTGACATTGGACGGATATGCCTCTTTTCGCGCGCTTTTGTATAAATATAGTACGTCGCGCGCGCGCGCTCCAGACACGACTCCGAAAGAGTATCGAAGGCCGCTCTGCGTGTTTCACAATTGCGCGCTCGTAGATTGCAATTATATATGAGCGTGAAGATTTCAAACCACCGAAGGAAAAAGGTTCAAACATCGATACATGTAAAAAAAAGTAGAGCAAGTAAATCCAAAAGTAAAAAAAATCCAAAATTAAAGTTCAATTGAAAAAGTAAGTAATAAATAAGTAAAAGTAAGGATTTACTTACTTTACTTTTTTTTGATTTGTTCAGACTTTTTTGAATTTACTTACTTTTTCAATTGAACTTTAATTTTGGATTTTTTTTTTTTTTACTTTTTAAAGTAGGGTCAACAGCTGGGCCTGTTCTATTGGTCTTATTGCCACGTATGTAAAACCCATACGAAAGGCCCCGACTTCGCTAGACATACAGATTTCCCTCTCTCATTGTAGATATTTTTTCAAAGCCCCCACTGTGTATGTAATTTTTTTCCCGGGGGATTTTGTCTCCGGAGATTTTGTCTTGCGGAGATTTTGTCTCCGGAAATTTTGTCTCCGGAGATTTTGTCGCGGAGATTGTGTCGCGGAGATTTTGGCAGCGGAGATTATGTCGGTAACCCAT